TCTATATATTATATATATATATGTTTTAATGGGAATCTTACATTATTAAGCATGTGCAGAAACAGTGTATGTACATGTATGTAAAATCAGATCAGATTGTAAGGTAGAGGCGGGTAAAGTGCACCCCTGTGTAAACTTCTGCTCCTGGCTACTAGATGGAGCAATTTTAATCTCAGTTGGTGGCCCGCGGGCCGCATGCATCCTCACTTGGAGTGGGCCTAGATTATTTTTTGGAAAATAAAAGTTTACTGCAGATGAGCAGTTGAAAGTTGGAAAAAAAATGTTCTTTCCAAGTTGGCACACAACTCTCACAGTGCCACCAATTACAAGACTTTAGCTGTGGATCAAAGAAGAAAGAACTATTCTGACTTCTCTCATTTTGTCGAGAAAACTGTCTTTTTCTTGTAAAATAGGAAGCAAATTATACAATATATCCACCGAACTGTGATTGGCTAGCAATCAGTTCAGGGTGTACACCGCCTACTGCACGAAGACAGCTGGGAGGTTCCAGCATGCCCGCAACACTCATGTTGATAAACGGATTTGAAAATGGATGGATGGATGGATGTTCACCGAATTTAAACATAAATTGATACGCTTGTTTGCCTAAAGATGCTATTAATAATGAAAGAGTTCAACCTAAGTCGCCACTGTAACACCGAATTCAAAAGTAAACAGCACCCAAGAACTTGCAGTCTCCTGTGAATCAATTACCTGAAGAATGTGTTTACTTCTTGTGTGCATATAATATTAATATTCAATGTTTTTATATTTCCAGAGAAAATTTGACATTTTTCTTAAGGGGGCATCTTACCCTGAACTCCCCCTACTTAGTTGTGCATGTGTTCTTTTCTAATCTAATGATCATACTTTATTACATTGTCTCCTAAAATCCAGAATAAATTACATAACTGGATAAAACCCTAACATCCGTTTGGCTATTGTGATCCTAGTCGGCAGCAGCTCATTGATTTGCCATGTGATAAAAATTGGTGTTTGTAGTCTGCTGGGCTTCACCTCTTTAATTTCAGACAGCCGTTGGATAACATGGCTGTACTGTGGTGGATCCTTCTTTAATTGAGCTTCTAGACAATCCCAGAATGCTTGGTGTACAATCTCTTTCACTCTGCGCTCCAAACTGTACAACAGGGGCAGTGGAGGGGTTGTTATTCAAAGAAATTAATTGCTAACCATTTTTCCAGCATGCAAAAACCTCACCTTCCTTCAGGAAGCTCAGATGGTTTAACTTGAAAAGACTGGTTCACCATTATTTCATGGGCCAAAGCCATATTGGTAACTCCTTTTGCTGTTTCCATTAACTCCTCCACAGACACAAACCTGGGTGGGCTGGCTATGAGGTAAGAATCACAATGGTAATTTCAATTCAAAATGCATCCCAATGAGCTGTTCTCCTTAAATTATGCACTTTAGGTTGAAGGCATTCACCAAATACTAAACTAATAAATATTAGAGCTTTTGATAAATTTCAGGGCCGTGATCTGATCAGAGCTGTTGATGAAGCTCTGTTCCCATGTAAACAACTCCCCCTTACCTTGTGGAGCGTTTGCTCCTCTGTGTGGACTTGGTGTATTTGTTCGGACTCGCTTCCTCACTGACTGCTCAGAAGAATCCTGTGCACTCTCCTCAGACTCCTTGTCTCCTCCACCCTCGTTGTGGTCAGCCTCATTTGGCATGCTCGTGTCTGCAGAATATCAAATGACAAATGCGGTGACGACTTGACTTGTCTTCTAAATATGACGATTACACGGTCGTCACAAGCATCTTATGTTTCTTGCTCGACAAAAAGTAAGAATGTATTGGATCGTTTAGTTTATAAAGTATTACCATACAGAAGGAAAAAAGGTAGGATGGGTTTGTTGTCAACCTAAACATGAGTGATGGTTGAAAGTGTCTGACGCCAACACTAAAGTGGGAGACGCAAACGTCAAAATCTCTTTACATTCGTATCAATTGCAACGTCACTCACCTTATTGCCAGTTGTCTCTTGGAATTATATGAGCTTCAAATTATCTGACGTTAGCTCGACCCGCAATTTCGTATCAACAATAACACAGCGGAGACGCAGCTGCTGTGACAAAAATATTGACACGCTTAACATTCATATAACGTATCGTATACAGGAGACCCTTCGATTCATCAAGTAAACAGATTTTCATGAGTGATGGGAGGTTTTTGCCGAGGATTCGGGCGTGTCAAGAAATCCCGGAAGTGAGGCGCGTATCGTGGCGTGATTCGTTCTAGGCGAGTGACGTCACTAGGGACCTGTGACGCCCCACTATTTCAGTCAACGGTTCGAGTGATTTATGAGTACGGAGTCCAGATAATCCACGCGAATTTCAGGTGTTAGTGATTGCCTGGATCTACGGGCATTTAGTTGCAAAGCTTCAAGGCTTCGTGAGACTTCCGTGGGGATCTTTTGACGATGTCACTTCCCGGTTTGGGTTGGGGTAACATGACGCCATGCTCGAGCTCCTCCCGCCCCATTGTAATTGTCTATTTCTCCAGTTGTTTCTCAATTCAACATCCCATTTCATGTTATTTACTTGTTTTAAAGCAAATTAAAATCCGTTCACACATTCGAATGTGAAGTTAAAAATCCTCTGACACTTCGTATAGTAACAAGTAAGCAAGTGTATTTTAAATATATTCGTATTTCTGTTTCTATATTTGATTTACTATACTGTACATTGTGTTAGTTTACTCTATAAAATGCTACAATAACCAATGGTGCACCAATATCTGTGTGGCGGAGGTTTTAATTTCTTTTACTTTTATTTCACTCACAAATTACAAACCCAATTCCAATGAAGTTGAAGCATGTTAAACATGCATAAAAACAAAATATAGGGTGAACATATTTTGATTTCCAAAAAAAAGAGGACACTCGGCCCGCCCTCGAGACACTACAATGATACTCAAAGATCTCATACAGTATAACACTTATCATTTTTAAGTAAGTATAGTAAGTAAAGTATCTGAAGCTGCATTATATTGGAAAAACATGCAACATATGATATGGGTGTTGTATCAATGATTTGGCCTGTGATTGGCTTGTAACCAATTCAGGGTGCCCCCCACCCACTGCCCAAAGACAGCTGGGATAGGCTCCAGCACGCCCGCGGCCCTTGAGGATAAACAGATTAGAAAATGGATGGATAGATGGATAGATGATATTGTCCTATTTAACATGAACCGATAGATATTACATCTATACTATCTAACGAAGAAACACTTTTTTCATGCAGAAAAAAAAATTATGTATTCTTCTCTAAATAAATTCTTTCGTGTTAGTAAGGGCCAGAGATACTGTTCTCCTAATTGGATGGCAATGCACATTTAAGGTTGAATCTGATTGGTCACATTTATATTGAAGCGAGCGATTTTTGTATTTCACACAACGTCCCAACTTCAGTGGAATTGAGTAGGTAATAAATAGGTCACGAGAGTGGATCCTGATTACAGTACAGGGTGCTTCTATATTTTCAAACAAGCTTTCCAAAAAAAAAAAAAAACAGATCAAATACATTACCAGCAATATCTGTTTATTTAGAGTCCATTTCAACAAAAACATTATCCACCGCTGACAAGCTTGAAGATGCTCTAGTTGCTTTTCGAAAATAACTATCACAATGGTGTCTCTTAAGCCTGCTGGCTAATTTTTAATTATTCTTTTTTAGATGTAAATGACAACGGGCAAAGCACAAATTTACAGCAGATTAACAGCAGATTCACCAAAGTACTTATTAAATATCTTAGGATGCGCTTGGTAAAACTGCCTAAGTCGACGCTTCCTCTCTTTGGGTGATATCTTTGTGTCGAGCTGAATGATGTGAAGCAAAGACCAGAGTTCCTGATCAGTGGTGGTCTTTGTAGTGTCAGTGTAAATCCTGTTGGGAACCTCACAGCCTACAAAACAAAAAAATTGAACACTTTTTTTTTCCAAACCCATATGAGTGATTTTTAAAAAATAACTGGTATTCCTTTTTATGCGTGGTTTCTAAGCTTTCCATACTTAATGTTAAAAAAATTGGCCATTGACAATTTGTTCTTTTCCAGACAAAAAATGTCATGGTCATTACTGGTAATTGATATACTGTATTAAATCAGATTAAAATGACCGTCCCGATCTACTTATTCTATCCCTATGTCATAGTATTTCTTGGACAATACTATTTTGACCTGCTATTGTCAAGGTGTTTTGTTTATTTTTTTCCATTCAAAATAGGCATTCACCAGTGACATCGGGCTGTTTCCCTTGAACAACTTCAGCCAGCTTGTCGCTCACGTCTTTGTGCAGGTCTCCGGGTATCTGGAGCAAAAAGAAGAAAAGTCTGTGGGTAAATAGTTTGTGTGCATCAGATAATAGCTTTTTGGCAACAGACCTTTCACTACAAATCGTCGATCCTTTCCAGTGACATGCTCAAACAGATACAGTGCATTTTAAGTTACAATTTCATAACTTGGATCATAGTGTTCCTGTCTTTTTTTACTGCATTGACTGGTGCAGTATCTGTCTCGATGAATTCAGAGATAGCCTCTCTAAGATATATGTGAGAAAAAAAAACTACAACATTAGTAAATTCCAAACTTAAAACATCCACTTCAAACCACAAAAGAAACCTCCTTCCAGTTTCACAGATTAATGAGTTAGGCTGATGAACTAAACTGCTTCTGGAATTTGGGGTTGATTGTTGAAACCTGAGCCATAATGCAAGTTTGTGTCCACATTGAAAAGGAGTGTGAAAATGAAAAAAAAAAAAAAACTGGCAGACTTTCATACCTTGAAGATCTCCTTTATGTTGCTGAGCATGAAGACTACCATCAGATCCTCTCTCTCTTTTGACAGAGCCTTGCTGTTAAGGATGGCCCTGGAAAAAGACCTCTTCACTGCAAGTTTGTTCTCCATCTATGACACATTCACATTCCAGGGAGCAGATCAGCCATCTTGCCTGAAACTGCCTGAATTAAAAACGGATTTTTTTGTTTGTTTTTTGCCAGTGATGACCCACAGTGGCAGTTCTAATTGTTGCCTTTACTGCCTTCATCTAGTCACCACCTCCCCCCACATGTAGCGCAGTGAAAAATTTTGCATCTTGCGATTTCAAATTCTTTTGCATATTTAGTCAATAATTTTATTGCATTTGTAAAGACCGAACAAAACTATCACTAAAACAATGGTACAATTTGCCAACTGAGCCTTCAAATTTTGAAAAACAAAAAGAAAACATACATTTTCCATTAACAAAATTGCCTAAGAACTTCATGCAATTTATCCAGAGCTGATCCCGCCCAAACTGTCCATTCTTTAATTGTTCAAAAACTAGATTTCCTTTTCGGTTTTCAGAATGCTTTGTGTGGCGCAACGGATTTAATTCATAAAGTTATAAGGACATTTATCCTTGTCATGCGTGTTTAAGTTACTCGTAGTTGAATGTGTGTCACAGTGAACATTTATGTCACAATTTTTTTTAAATTTTCATTGCTTGCATTCCTTTTTAAAACAACCTGACTTCATGCAGTTTGTAAAATAGCGGAATCCAGGTCAATTCCTCGCATCGGTTATAAGAGTGGTCGTCTCCCAACCCAGCGGTTGGGGGTTCAATCCCCTGCCATTGCGACCTTGCTGCATCATCAGCTGGTAAATGAGGAACCAGTGTAAAGCACTTTGAGTTCCAAAGATAGAAAGTGCTATGATTCCCATTACCATTGATGCGGATCTCAAAAGACAAATTGAAAACCCATTACTGTATTGTGCGATAAACAAAACATCACTTCTGATGTGAATACAGTCTATCGTATTGGTTTTCAGGCTGTCCTGTGTGTGGCTATGCATTGTATCTTCTCCCTAGACATTAAGTTGCTGTTCATAGTTGGTTACTCTGCATGCGTACGCATGCATGTGTGTGTGTGTGATTCTAGCAAGACTAAAGTGAAACGTGTATTGTCGCACCAAACACTTCTTCCGGTGTTTTGAGACCACATTTAATGATGCTTTGTTGTTTAGCTTGGCCTAGCAGTCTTCTGTTAACGATTCATCGTCCTCCTTTCGTGATAACGATTGTCGGAAATCTAGCTCATTCACCACCAAGGGGCAGTGATTAGCAAACCCAGCCACAGCCAAAGGAGCTGCCCTTTCAGAAAGACCACAAAAATATGACCCCCACCCCCTCCACCCAAATTTAGTTACTATAGATTCGACAAGAAAAAAAATGCGGATGAACTCTCAAAATAGGAAACTGATGAGCTGGGGGTTCTCTGTACTACACGGCAAACATGATCGTCACCTCCTTGTCCAATTTTATTTCCTGTGAGTCAGCTGCCACGGTCATAAAGGCAAGAATTCGACTTAGCTCCTCTCTGCAGCTTGGTGGCAGAAGCTTCAAGCACAGCTGGAGAACTTCAAGTGCTGTGCCCAATTTTGCATTTGCTGAAAATGGACAAAATAAGAGAAAGATGAAGCAAGGCCAGAAGGGGATTGAGTGGCAATAATAGCGGTTAAATAACTGATTGGAGAAATTAATCATTTATGTTTAATTTCTTGTGTTTACTTAAGTCCCCACCTAGCAGATCAGTTACTGCTGAATATACATCAGTCATTTGCTCAGGAAGTAGTGGAAGTCTGTCTGTGTTGCTGTAGTGTCTCACCAGTGTACCATACAGCAGCATCTTACACTGAGCCATGCCACTGTCAGAGAGGCACTGATTACCTGGAGTCAAACAGTAAAATAATTACTGTATATATATACATAAGATGTTTGCTGCTGATTTTTTTTCCTGCCATTAGGTGCTGCTTATGCTGGTACTTCCCTGGTACAATGCCATCAGCTTGCTCAGTCCTCTGTTGATCTTGTGGGAACAAGAGAGGCAGCTCTCGACTCAGCTTCACTACTGGTTGGTCAGGGAGGAAGTCCAGACAGTCAAGGGCTGCACGAAGCCACCCATCATCTCTAGGTGATGAAACGGTAAAATGAACATCACAGCTTCAACAAGATGCATATCCAACACTTAGCGTATTTTCCCCACGACAGGGCGTACCTAAAAGCATACAATTTTCTGAAAAGCGGAAGCGCCTTATATATGGATCAATATTCTGATTTCTTGGATGTAGTATTTTAAATATTCTGTAAAGTGCTTAAACAGCTGCTGCGTTTGTGAACGCTTTAAATCACAGGTGTCAAACTCAAGGCCTGGGGGCCAGATCCGGCCCACCACATCAT